TGAATTTAACCTCGCATTTTGGTACTGAGGCAGTTCTTGCTTCAACTATAGGAGTAGTCAGAGATTCAAGAGCATAATTAATTTCATCTTTGGTTTGCAAAGGAATGTTTGGATCAAAATTATATTCCATAAATGTTCGATATTGCTCTCAATCAGCTCTATGGTAATTGAAAGTAGAGCTGTTGGGATTACAAATTATTTCTTGGGATATTAAAAAAGTTACTGGAAGGTGATCACAACCGAAGTCAGCATGGGTAACCAATTGGTTAAAAAGTTGACATGAATCAGTTAAGACCAAATCAATAGTTGAGGGATTTCTTGCTGATGAAAAGCATGTTGGGCTGCAGAACAATCATCAAACAGAATATTACCATTGGAATTGCTTTGAGCATTATTCCATGAGCGGTGTTTTGCATTAAAATCACCAATAATAAAGAATTTAGACCTATGACGGGTAAGTTTCTGAAGGTTACCCTTGAGTAAATTCTTTTGCTGGCCTACGCATTGGAATGGCAAATAGGCAGCTATAAACGTAAGTTGTCCAAATTTTGTTTCAACAGAAACTCCCAAAGTTTCAAATGAAGAAAGAATTTTATGTTTGATTCGTCTATGAACAATAATGGCAACGCCACCACAGGGTCCATCAAGACGATCATTTCTATAAACCAAATAATTTGCGTCCTTCTTAACCTTATGGTTAGGTTTAAGGAACGTTTCAGTTACAACGGCAATATGCACGTTATGAACTCTCAAAAAGTTAAATAGCTCGTCTTCATTATCTTTAAGAGATCGAGCATTCCAATTTAGAATATTTAAAGGTTTAAAATCGATTACTGAATTTTAAAGTCATGACAATATTATTAGAAAAATTTACTCCAGTTTGAATAGCATCAAACATGGAGTTAGATTTAAGCATATCAGAAATCATATCAATTAATGAATTCTGTAAAAATTCCATTTTAGGGGCATTCCTAAGTCAAAATTGTCAAAATTTCCGTTAGAACGTTGGTTAGTATTTTGATTTCTCCCCTAGCAGCGAGGGGAGTAGGTACAGATGAAACATTTGAAGCAGGGGTGATATTTGTACCTACGGGTACGAATGTAGAATTTGTTCCTCGCTGATCGTAGTTAACAGCAGAGGAATTTGTACCTGTTCGGAAACGTGGAGCTTTTCCTACCTGTCGCTTAGAACGAGATTGTAGAATCGCTTTGTGAGTCTTACATTCCCAAAAATTGGATTTGTGGTTTTCACCACAATTTGAACATTTAAATTTCTTAGGATCTTCCTTCACAGGGCAGTCGTTCTTTGCGTGAGAGGAATCACCACAATTCATGCATTTAGCTGGCATGTAGCAATTTTTAGTTCCGTGACCCCATCCCTGGCACTTACGGCACTGGGTGAGGTTTTGGAAATTTCTTCCAGTCTTCCTGAAGTGTTCCCACTTCACTCGGACATGGAGCATAAGGCTAGCTTTTTCTAAGGCCTTAAGGTTGTTTAGTTCACTAGACTTGAAGTGAACTAAATAAAAATCATTAGAAATCCCGTTGCGCGAATCGCCAGGACGGGATTTCATTTTCATTTTGATTACTTGGAGTGGTACAACTTTGCCAATCCATCTTTGATCTGATCCAGGGATTCAGCACTGGGCAGTCCTTTCATGACAACCTTGAACACACGTTCAGTTTTGGTGTCGTAAGTGAAAAAAAATTGTAATTGAAACTTAACTTTCGAACGAAGCTCAAAAGTTCCGTGCGAAGAGCATGGAAATCGGAAGTGGTTATCACAATAGGGGGAATCTTTTCCTTCTTGGCATTAAGCCGGGAAAATTTACTAGAATTTTTCTTGGATGATGGATCTTTCTCATCATCCGTGAGCAAATCAAATTGATTGCTCAAATTAATTTCATCAGAAGGGGGATCAAGAGATTGCCCCTTTCCTTTGCGCTTAGGCTTTATCCAAATCGACTTCCCAGCAGATTACTATAAGAATCTGAAAGATCGAAGAGGAATTTTCCAAAAAAAGTGCTGTTTAAATTTGTTGTAGCTTTAGGTAGTTGTAACACTTCCTTCAGCAAAAAGCAAATAGATCCGCACGGCAAGAGAGCACGATGTAGACTGACGTTATAAATGTTCACATTCTTATTTGTAGGGCCATATCAGATCTGAGTTACAAAAAGAAATAAATTCCCAAAATAACCGAGAAATCTCAGGTCTAAACAACACAAATTTACCCTTTCAAGGGCGATTGGAATCCTAGCTAATAGAATAGGCAAAATTAGGCAAAAGTTCGGTATTGAAAGGGATATGTTAAACCCTGGACGAACCAAGTAAAAGTTTTACATAATTATAAGCTGCCAAATGCAACACGTAGACGTAAGAACATTTTGTACAAAATTTTGGAATGAAATTAAGTTTCTTAGGTTACGACAAACTCCGAAAGAACTTTCGGCCTAGAAGTGAAAAATTATCTCCTTAACCAGAGAAAAAAGTTGCTCCTAGAAGAACTATCGACCTAGAAGTGAAAACTTCTCTCCTTAACCGGAGAAAATAGTTGCTCCTAGAATTAAAGTAGTAGCTCCTAGTAAGCGAAAAATTCTCCCCAAGTAGCTTTTGGCCTCGACAGGCCCACACCTGGACCCTACCTATCGACCCATCAACTCATATAGACCGGGGACTAATGACTTTACCTCCCTGATTGATCAGAGATTAAAAAGAAGAAAATCCCGGCGGCAACAGAACTTGGAGCACGCGCAGAAGATGACAGATGATCTTCAAGACAAGGAGGAGATCTGTCGGCTGAAGAACAACAAAGCAACTGGTGTAGATCAACTACTAAGTAAGCTATTAAAATACGGTTATGAAGCACTGACTAGAGCGCTACACTGGGTAATTGCCAAGATTTGGAAGGAGGAGATTCATCGATTTCAAATCCGCATACGACACAATCGATCGAGATCAGTTATAGCAGATTATGCACGAGTACGGATTTCCGGATAAACTGACACGATTGGTCAAGGCGACGATGGATCGAGCGTTGTGCGTTGTTCGAGTATCGGGGACACTCTCGAGTCCCTTTGAATCTCGAAGGGGGTTACGGCAAGGTGATGGACTTTCGTGTCTGCTGTTCAACATCGCGTTAGAAGGTGTGATCAGAAGACCTAGGATGAACACGAGTGGCACGATCTTCAGGAAGTCCATCCAGCTTCCTGGCTTCGCCGATGACATCGACGGAACCTTAAGACGATGGCGGAAATGTACATCAGACTGAAGGCTGAAGCTAGGCGGATTGGACTTGCCATCAACGCATCGAAGACGAAATACATGAGATCACAAGAGGTTCTAGGGAAGACAATGTTTGCCTCCCACCCCGAGTTCAGATTGACGGTGACGAAATCGAGGGACGAGTTCGTGTATTTGTGCTCACTGGTGACCGCCGAAATTGATCCCAGCAGAGAAATTCACAGACGCATTATGGCAGGGAATCGTGCCTACTTTGGACTCCGGAGGACGCTCTGGTCGAATAAATTCGCCGCTGCAAAATTAAGTAAATTAAACCGAACTAGTTAAGCAAATTTTGAAATTTTAATATACGTATAAATTAGAGTCACAATGGCACTTTAGTATAATGAGAAGATATTACGACTTTCACTCTTACTTTAAATTATTATTTTACTGTGCCTATGACAGTTGTGAAAACATTTGCAAAACAGTGTGTTCTGGCAGAAAAAGCATTTTGACCATTTTTGAGTGCATCAATTATTGGAAAATTCATTCATTCAAGCAAGCAGAAAAATAGCCATATACTCAGAATTGACAGCAAGAGAACGAATCAGGCGAGAAACTGAAGGAATATGAAAAACGTTCTCACCGAGTACAAATTCGAAAATTATAGATTAAGGGCTAAACTGAACTGATGGTCTGATTGAAGCTATAAAATCAGCGAGAAATCATGTTTGGCGTGGATTGTCCCCCATTTTGGATTTATTTTATCTGCTAAAACATAGCTAAAATAGTTTACAGCTTGGAAGCAAATGATCAATGATCTACTGAAGAAAAATTTAAAATCTAACAAATTACTGTTCAAGAAATTTGATACATTTCTTTGATTTGTTTTCCGTTGATCTTGTTTTCCGTGCTGAGCACCAATGCTACCGACGCCAGCGAGGCAGCTCCCACACCAGGACTCTACCTATCGACCCATCAATTCATGAACCGGGGACCAACGGTTTTACTTTACTTCCGGCGTGATCAGAGATGTTATGCCTCATTCCGGCGGCGCCGACTGGGACTGGGACCACTACAAAAAAACTGATTTCAAATATTTTACAGCCCAATGACATTTGAAATTCCAGTTTTCCTGATGAAAATAAAACCCCGACTCTTTCCCGGTTTCCTATTACATTTGCCACCCTGACCCTGATGGTGGTTCTAGGAAATTTTCTGAGATTTTGAACCTCTATCAAACATTGTTTGCACAAACGACCATGCAGGTAGCACGCATGTTGACACCGAAAGACGACAACACAACAAAGTCACGGTCGTTTTAAACAATTTACGTGCAACCTTACAAAATCGTAGCGCATCCCGCAGCAACGAATTAATTCCGTTCCGAGAAAATTCATCAAGCTGCGCTCGCGGACTCCAACAAACGTGCATCGCTCCCTTCACGAAGTAAACTTTTTTCAAAAGATAAGCACTTGGTAGCGTAGATAATACACCTATCCGACCTGAGGCGCTTGCAAAACAAATTACATAAATGAAATTTCCAGCTCGCATTTATTTTGAAAAAAAGGCACATGTGCTCCGTTGATAACATTTCACCAGGTTTCACTATTCACGTACTTTTCCAAACAAGCCTATTCATCACGTCAATAATAATTCACGCGGAAAATCACCGTAACATTCCATTCCCTAAAAAGCACCCAAAACCCGCGCATAACAATAACAATTCCGGGCAACTAGGAAGAAGACTCCTAACAAGCTACAACCTACTCACTCACCTCACTTCCGGATGTGCATCCAGCATGGCCCGCATCAGTGTCGTCCCCGAGCGTGGCACTCCGCCGATAAAGATCAGCGGCATATTTCTATGATAGCGGTAGCTTTTGTCACCGGATCCTGCCCCCTCATCGCCGGGTCCACTTCCACCCCGGATCATCGCCCCACCGGATGTCGCCGCCCGTAGGCATCGCGATCCCAGTTCGGTCCTGAGGAACAGAATCAACAGCAGCCCCAGTCCAACTGCTAGCACAATCACCTGCTTCCGATTTCGAATGATGGGGCGCATTTTGCTATAAGGATCTATGGAGCTTCACAGTCTTTGGTTTCGTCGCGGGTAAGAGTTCTCCTGTGGGAGACCTGACTCTTCTAGTTTCTAGTTGTGTGGTTGTGTGCGGTAGATATGTGATTGCTTTTGCGCTACGCGACCAATAAATTCGCTTAGTTTATATGGCGGCTCTCGGTATAACGATTAGCGATTAGCACGCTCGTTGATATTTGCTATCCGCCGGGAAACAGCAGCGGGCTTGGAATTGAAATGGTTGCTCGTTGTGGAATGATTTGTCTGCCGTTGTTTCACCCGAGGGACCTCCATTGGGTCTCCGCAGAGGGCAGACCTGCGGCGTGCTTCGGTTGATTACTTTCCACTCCACGTCTTTCGCTGGTTCGTCGGATTAGTTTCACCTCAATACCCAGAAAATTACCACTGAGCTAAGCTCTCTGCCTGGCACAAAATAACCCACCGGACTCGTGACGAACGTGTAACGTTTTGCCGTCTTCTCTTCTAGTACTGAATGCGATTAACGGGTGTTCTAATAGCGCGCCGAGGTTCTTCACTCTCCATCCCAAAAACGTGCTGCGTTGCCTCTCTCGAAACGAGTGTTAAATCTATTAGCACGCTGCATCCAACCAGAAAAATTCAGAAGCAAGGCGCTTTGTTGATATAACTGAAACTGTAACTCGCTTCTTCCTCCAACCGCCGCTGCCACCACACTGCCAAGTCTTCCTTTATTTTTCCGCTACCAAAATGAGTGTAGAACCCGATTTCATTCCAATTTATATCACCACCGCCTTTGCCGCGCCTTGCCTGCAAATGTAAAGAAAACAGAAAACAACAATCAAACACTCTGTATGCTCACGTCGGCGACGATGACATCGTTGTCGTTTATAGACATATAGGTAGGACACAAACGGGACACGTCACCCGAAGTGAACGACGACGACGACGATGACGACGGAATCCGTTCATTCTTCTCTGAAATAATATGTAGCAGGTACTTTCTAATCAGTTGCGTGTGCAGTTGCCTGGGAAGAGGAGACAAACTGATAGTCCGTGCGAGATCCCAACTAGCATTACCCAAAGGCAGTGGAATAATTTGTGTTTTGAAATGTTTCAAACTGACAAACTGACCACAGTACCATTGGGCGTTCGACAATACTCACCATCCATCGTTCACGAGTTCAAAGGTGAAGATGGTCAGATATGGCGATGCCGTTGCCACGGTAATCGTTAATAGCTCCAAAATCGTTTTGAAACGTTAAAATGGCCTTGAAGAGCCCATAATATACCAAGAAACGGACCACCTATGGTAGATTATGCCCGAATACGGATATTCGGTTAATCGCGATTGGTCAAGGCGATCGATGGATCGAGTGGGGTGGGGTGTCCATGTTTCGGGGACGCTTTCGAGTCCCTTCGAATCTCGAAGAGGATTACGGCAAGCCTTCGTGTCTGTTGTTTACCATCACTTTGGAAGATGCAGGACGTTCAAACATAAATAAAAGTTGTTACAGTACTTAGTTTCTAGTTGGAAGTTCATTAAACTAACGAACGTGATAATATTTGCACCATCACTGAAGGGTATAAAGTGAATACGGAGGTGTATATCGGTTTTCTTAGTAAGTATGTCGTTCCGTGGATTACTGAGCAATATGGATCGGAGCTGATTGTTTGTAAAATACCCATCCTGGCAACCCGGTATTTCTGACACCTTGAATATTTTGGTTTGAAATCGCAAGGATAAATCGAATTGAGGATGACGCGGGAAGTGGCGAGTGTGCGAAATTTCGGTGTTTTATAATGCCCTCAAAGGCAGACCAGAAACCTAGACTTTCGGTCGGAAAGGGTTGGAACCGGTGGGGAGCATTGTTGGAGTCCGACTATAGAGGATGACGAAAAGACTTCTGTAGTTTGTTTTGTGTGAGTTGCAGCATTATTTGAATTAAGGGTACTAATGAGGTCTGATTAACTGCCTCTTCCTCTTGAGTCCACTCTAGAACCTACATTTCGTATTTAGATCTATAAGTGAACTGCTGGTCTGAGTTCCTCTGGTATAAGGCTTGTACTCGGAAAAAATGCACAATTTTTATCCGTGTGTAACTTTTTTATCCGTGGGTAAAAATTGATGAAAATCTGGGTATAACTAGTTTTTAGTGAGTTGTTTACATGTGCTAAATGTCATAACAATTGGTTCAGTGGTTATTGAGATGTCATCGAAACAAGAAGAAAATCGCCGGAGAATTTTGCGCGCCGTCATGGAAAATCCGACTGCGACCATGAGATGTGGCTGGAAGTGGAAGAAAATCGAAGACAGCTGACCCTGTGAAGGCCCGGAAGGTGTTGGATTATTTCAAGCGTAATCCGAACCTTTCGATTCGCGACGCGGCTCTGAAGGCAAAGTGTTCCGCCTGGTTCGTTCAGCAAACCATGAAACGAGCTGGGCTTCGTATATTCAAGGTCCGGAAGGCACCGAACCGGCGTGATCAACAAAACACGGCGGCCAAATCCCGCGCAAGGAAGCTGTATCGAGAGTGGTTAACGATACCGATGTGTGTGGCTATGGATGACGAAACCTACATCAAGGCAGACGCAAAGCAGATACCGGGACTGGAGTTCTACGTTGCCAAATCACGGTTTGATGTTCCGGAAGACATAAGGAAGAAGAAAGTGGACAAATTCGCCAAAAAATATTTGCTCTGGCAGGCCATATGCCAATGCGGTAAACTGAGTAAACCGTACATCACAATGGGTACCATCAACAGCGAAATTTACCGCACCGAGTGCCTCCAGAAGCGTCTGTTGCCCTTCCTGCGGTCCCACGGAGGCGACACATTATTTTGGCCGGACCTGGCATCATGCCATTACGCGCGATCGACGTTGGATTGGTACAGAGACAATAACGTTGTTTTTGTACCAAAAACCGCCAACCCCCCAAATTCACCAGAGATTCGCCCGGTGGAAAGATTTTGGGCCATAATGAAGGCCAAAGTTCGAAAATCGTCCAAGAACGAGCTGGAGTTGAAGAAAGAATGGATGAAAGTGACCAAAAAGGTCGGCTCCACCATTGCACAAAATATAATGAGGGGTCTTAAGGAAGAGGGGTGGGCTTTCAGTGATGGAAAGGAAATTCAATAAAGTAATTATGCCGAAACATAATCCATATGTATTAGTTCATTCCCTGAAAGTTTCAAGAAAATCCGACTTAAAATAAATTTTTAAGAAACATTTTGCCTGGTGCATTTTTTTCGAGTACAGGCCTTATTCAATTAGAAGATGTTCCTGAACATACAATCAAACAGCACGTAATGTTCAGGACAACTTCAATAAAGTTTTCCAGCAGTGCCCATATTTTATTTACAACAATCTAATGAAGAGCTTTGAGTGGGTTGGTTTATTTCCTTTAAATTCCGTTATAATTGCTTATCTTTTGACAGATACGCGTATTTCGTCTACTACTTGCAGACTTCATCAGTGCCAAGTACTCAACAGAACAATCTAATGCCCACGAGATTGTGTCGAAGGTATGCCGAAAATGTGCCGATGGATGTGCCCAAGCTGTGTAGAATATAATTCCGGCACAATGTGCTGAGTGACTTACCCCTTGACTCCAGTACAGTACTCAATAAATGATTTTTTTGACGTACGATTAAGTCTGTGATTTCTATATGAGGGTACACTTTGTGAAAACCGAAAATTAAACATGTAACGAAATTATGAAAGATTTTGAACGTTAATAACTCAGCTGCCCGTGGGCCAATTTTAATTTGACATAGGACTATGTCTTTAATTTCTATACTGCACGCAGAAAAATGGATTTTTGTTTCAGGGCCTAATGTATTTTGTTATTGATTCAAGCATATTATATCACTATTTCAACAAAACATATTTTGGAATCAACAAAATGGTTTTTAGAATCAACAAACAGATTATTGACTCTACAACCGGTTTGTTGATTCAAAAATATTTTTCTTTAAATTAACCGAATAATATATTTTAATCAATACCAAAAATATATTAGGCCCTGAGCCAAACATATATCCATTTGAATTTAAAAATCATTTCTCTGCGTGTGGGGGTCACATTAAAAAAATCTAAATTCAGACATGTAACGAAAAATCCCAAACACGGACGTAACGATAGAGCGCAAATCGAACACACGACACATTGCGCATGCTCTGCTCACATGAACGATCTATCCGCTCGGTTTTACAGCTCACCATTTTACCAATGAATGGAATGGAGGAGAAAGGCAACGGTAATCATTGCCGTGAAATCCGAGCTGAAGTGTAAGGCTGTGCATCTTGTGGGCGTTGAGAGCCTCGAACAAATTGCTGTTCAAGTCGATTTACAACATCAATCGATCTTCCTGTGCTGCATCTATATTCGACCAAACAGTCAGCCCGACATTTACACCAAACACGCTGAGTCCGTACAACAGCTCCTTGGTATGGCGAACCCTCACGATACAACTATAGTTGTGGGCGATTACAATCTGCCAAATCTAGCTTGGGACTTCGATGAGGACGTCAGAGGATGTCTGCCTCTCAATGCTTCATCAGAACAGGAACTCGCTGTAGTGGAGTCCATACTGTCTGCTGGATTGAAGCAAATCAACGATCTGGTGAACACGAATGGTAAGCTTTTTGACCTGGTTCTCGTCAGTGACTCCGATTGCATCGAGCTGTTTGAACCACCCTCTGCAATTATGAAAGTTGATTGTCACCACAAGCCGTTGGTTCTAAAAGTCGACTCCCGTTCGAGAGATCATCCGCTCCCGTACCCAATGCACAATGTGATTTCGATGTTGTTAACACGAGGATTGCCGCCTTGGATTGGGTACAAATACTTGACCAACCCACCATTGATGCCGCCGTCTCCGTATTCTACGACAACATCTATAAAGTAATCCAAGATACTGTTCCGGTGAAGACACGAAAATCTTGTTTGCAATTCCAACAACCTTGGTGGAATCCGCAATTGCGTAATCTGCGTAACCGTCTGCTCGAAAACGTTACTTTCGTTCCCGGACCGCAGCAAACAAGTATACGGTGCAGCTAGTAGAAGCAGAGTATAATAGTTTGCAGGAAGCTCGTTTTCATGAGTACGTCGACAACCTCCAGAGGGGTTTCAAGGAAAATCCATCGTCGGTCTGGTCTTTTATCAAACTCTCGGAAAAGATCAGCTGGTATTCCCGTGGACGTCACCTACAATAGTAGAAGCTCCACCACCGACACCGCTTGTGCTGACCTTTTCGCTGACTTTTTCCGAAGTGTTTTCGAACCCGATCAAACTCCTCCACCGCAGCAATACATTGATCAGCTACCAAGATACGACATTCACCTGCAGCAGCTCATCTTCAGTCAAGACGCTATTCTCAAAGCCCTTTGCTCAGTCGATCCATCGAAAGGTCCAGGCCCGGACCGTATTCCACCGTCTTTCGTGAAGAACTGTGCAGCATCGTTGGCCACTCCCGTTATGTCTATTTCCAATCGATCGCTTAAGGATGGCGTTTTTCCGGATGCCTGGAAGCTCGCCTCAATTACACCAATCTTCAAGTCCGGTAACATGCACAAAGTGGAAAATTACCAACCTATCTCGATCCTGAACTGCTTGGTCAAAGTTCTCGATAGTCTTCTGCATGAGAAGTTGTAACCAGCTGTTCAACCCATAATCTCAGAGTTTCAGCATGGATTCATGAAAAAGCGCTCGACAGTCTCTAACTTGATGACTTACACGAACACTCTTATAGGTAGTATCGAGAAGCGTCAGCAAGTGGATTCCGTTTACATCGACTTCTCTAAGGCTTT